ATATTTATTTTGTCTCGATCAAACCTTTTTGCAATCATACATTATAATATTTCCTTGTGTTATTAATATTAGTTTTTTTTTAGTTTGACAAGATAGTAGGAATTAGTTTATGATAACTAGTTCTAGTTGTGGTGAAGACAAATTTCTAGACCAATCCATGAGGAGACGATAACTCACTTACCATTTATTACTTGCATCGATTGTGTACACTTGCACAGATTTGATTAGCTTAGCAAATAATTTACAAGCGATCAGTTACCCAACCAACAAGTTGTTTCAAAAAATGAGAAAGAAATTTTCAACGTTTCTCATTCAATCTTTTCCAAAAATGAAATTATTAAAAAGTAAGAAGTTTTCTTACCCAGTAAATTATTTCCCACAAATTTGTAAATCCTTCGGGTCATCTGTCAGTCTTTCGAGCATGATGCTTAAATCCTTTGGGTCATCTGTTAGTCTTTCGAACAAGATGATAAGTCCTTAGGGCCATCCGTCAAACCTTTGGGTAGGATGTTTACATATGATTTTTGTATAAGATTGAGAAAACAAGTTTCAAAGTTTCTCATTCAATGTTCAAGAAAATGAAATTTTTGAAAAGTAAGAAGTTTCTTACCCAGTAAATTATTTACCACAAATTTGTAAATCCTTCGAGTCATATGTTAGTCTTTCGAGCATGATGTTTAAATCCTTAGGGTCATTTGTCAATCTTTTGAGCAAGATGATATGTCCTTAGGACCATCCGTCAGGCCTTTGGGCAGGATGTTTACACACTTTATTGACTTCATAGTAAAAAGAAGTCAATCTTTAATTCCAGACTTCACGGAAGAGTAGTGAAGTAATGCAATCTCAACCTTCACGGAAGAGTAGTGAAGCAGGAACATATCAAAAGTTCGATCTCCACGGAAGAGTAGTGGAACGGATTTCCCATCAAAGAATAAAGTCAACTGGACAAAAATTTATTGTATTTTTATCTTTGCTCTATTCTTGTTAACATAAAAAAGAGCAAAGATGAGCGATGTCGACAGTCATTTTCATCCGAGTTTGCATATATTATTACTATATTATATTATTACTATTATTATCATATTATTATTATTAGTTACAAGACCCGAAGGCCCAATTACAACAAGGAGGTCCAGACCCGAGCAGGTCTAGCAGATCCACAACCAGAGTCAGGCCCAAAATCCATGCCAGGCCTAGAATCAAAGAAGGATCGAGAAGGCCCAAATCAGTTAAGGTTTCATCATCTTCTCTAGCAGTTGCCAACAACTATCACTGTTGGATCTGGAGAGATCCAACGGCCACAAATAATCTAGATGATTCCATAAACCCTAGGGTTTCATTAAACCCTAGGGCCTATTTCGGTCGTCGCCTCCAGATGGTCCAACCACCCGCTGTCACGCCACCACCGCCTTGATGGAAGACTCCAGAATGAGCATAACAGCCGCACACCTCATCAACCTATGGTGAGTCACCATCGTAGGTCTGGTGACTCATCGATAGGGTTCATCATTGTGGCTGAACTCCAAGGGCTATAAAAGCCCCTATTACCTGCAAAGAAAATGAGAAAATAGCGAGATACAGAAACACCAAACAGAAACGAAAGTAAGAAAAAAACAGAGAAAGAAAACATTATACACAGCAGTCGAACAGACAACTAAAAGGAAAAAGAGGGAAAGAACATTAGATCTAGCCCGATTGATTCGTTTTTAGGGAAAATGGGTTTAGATATGGGTTTAGGGTAAACAGATGGTCGATTTGGGTAATTTTGTAAATTCCAGCCACCGTGGGTGTTGGACGGCGTCGGCGAAAAACGTCGGTATATGGTGGCCGGCAGGTTGCGAACTCCCTCCGATGGGAATTTGAGAGAAATGGGAGGTTTAAGCCTCCTTGGGCCGATTTTGGCCTATTTATACCCTCTCACATACACCATTATTTTGGGGGAGGGGCTTTTATGTAATTCGAAGATGGGTAAATCTCTCTCACAATCCATGCAATTTGTAAACCTTTAATTTTGGTCACGAAATCAGGTTTTTGCATATTTCAATTTGGTTATCGCATTTTATTTATTTTTATTTTAGTCCCTGCTTAATTTTATATATATTTAGGGTAAAATTGCATGTTTAGTCCCTATTATTTTAGTTATTTATATTTTAATCCCTAATTATTATTATAGTATTATTTACATTAATAGTACCTAACTTTTGTAATATTTCAAATTAGGCCCATTATTTTTGTTATTTTGCAATTTAAACACCAAACTTTAATATCTTTAATTTTTAATATTATTATTGTTTTTTATACTTTTAGTATCTAAAATATGTAATATTTGTAGTAGTAACCTAGTATTTTGATATTTTCATATTTTAATCATTAAAATTATTATTTGTAGTATAGTTATTTTATTTTATACAATAAGTCATAAAAATGTTTCCTTAACTTATTAGGAATATATTTTTAAATGATTATTGGTATAAAATAATATTCCAAATGCTTTTTATGGGATCATAAATTAAAATTAAATACAAATTTGTTAATTTATTGTAAAGATAAATTAATTAGTAAACAAAGGTACTAATTTTGGGTGTTGTGGGGGTGTTAATCCTTCCCCACACGTAACCGACTCCCGGACTCATTTTCTGTAAGCATACCCTTTTTTTGTGTTATTTTAATAATATTCTTAGGAATTTTATTAAAATAACATAACATTTGGTGACCAATCACACCTTGATAAATGATTGGTGGCGACTTTACAAATTAGTGTTCTATCTTATGCCAGAAGATAAACACTTATATTTTTCGAGACAGATACACTGAGGAGTACATTTGTTTTTTCGCTGGGCAAATAACGTCTCGATACAAATTCCTACGAGTTTTTTACTATTAAAAGTTACAAAATGATCCCTCAACATAGGGCGATGCTTTGTTCATTCCTCTGACTATTAAAAGTTACAAAATGGTCATCTGACTTTTCACATATTCCAAACTCATCTTTTTTCGTCAAAAATTGTCGATTGTCTGAGCTGGGCATTAACATGTTGACAAATATTTGATAAAATCTTATCCTAGAACCATTTGAGTTGTATTTTATGTATCGACTCTCTGTTTATAATATGTCGTCGAATCAGTGATTGAAAGCAATAACAGTGTCAGTATACAACATTAAAATATAATTTTATCATATCTCAATCAGTAGGTTAATGTCCAGCACATATGATCGTCATTTTTTAACAGAAACATGAGTTTGAAATATATAAATATTTGGATAACCATTTTGTAACTTTTAATAGTCAAGGGACTCAATAAAATTGTGTCCCATAGTCGAGAGACTGTTTTATAACTTTTAATAATTATGAGACTAACAAAATAATGCTATATGGTTAGAGATCATTTGTATACTTTACCCAAATATTAAATATACAATTTGACATAATACAAAAACAAAAGACAAAATCTGAGTATAAGTATTATAAAATTTAATAATAATTCCAATCATTCCCATAATACTAACAAAAAGAAAATGAAAAATAAAATAAAATGTCCTTTCACAAATAATATATATTAATATGAGTAGAAAATCATACCACCTTGAATATCAATCCAAATCAACACATTCCCAACTCAAACATCACATCCTCATCAACTAAACTTTTTTAACACATTATTATATTGGGTAAATTACGTTTTTAGTATCTTAAACTATCAGTTTTGATATGTTTTAGTACCTAAACTTTCAATTTTTTCAAAATCATTCTTAAAGTTTACTTTTTGTTTCATTTTAATACCGCGTCGTTAAAACCTTAACGCGTTTAGTACCTAAACTATTAGTTTTGATACATTTTAGTACCTAAATTATTAGTTTTGATCCATTTTAGTACCTAAATTTTTAAAAAAAAAAATTAAAAATTAAGTATGATTTAGGTACTAAACGTGTTTTGGTACCTAGAATTTCAGTTTTTTTCAAAACTTAACGACAGGATACTAAAATGAAACAAAAAACTAAACTTTAGGTATGATTTTAAAATTTTGAAAGTTTAGATATTAAAATAGACTAAAACTCATAGTTTAGATATTAAATGCGTAGTTTACCCTATTATATATTTTTACTCTTTGGGTAAAGTATATCAGACGTTACTGAATTATGTTTCAATAATTATTTTAATCACCAAAATTTTAAAATTTTAAAAAATGGTTATCAAATTTATTGAATTTAATAAAAAATAGTCATTCTGATGTTATAATAAATTTAATGATTATTTTTATAAAATTTCGATAAAAAATAATAATTATTGTTGTTAGTATTGAACTAGACCCTTCACTTTTTAGGAATTTACCCAATGATCTACTTAGTGTTGTGTGAGTTGAAAAAGAATAAGAAGAGTAAAGTGCATTAAAGATCACTTAATTATAGTCAAATGATTATTTTAATCATTAAACTTTCAAAATTAATTTTAAATTAATCATTAAATCTATCGAATTGTTCACAAAATCCGCTACTTGTCTTATATATATTGTTACTCTTGGGTACAATATATCATAGGTCACTTAACTATATTTTAATGATTATTTTAGTCATTAAACTTTTAAAAGTTATAAAAATGGTCATCAAATTTATTGGATAGATACAAAATTGTCATTGTGATGTTATAACAAGTGTAAAAAAATGATAAGGTTAATGATATTTGACAATAATTCGATAAAATTTAATAATTATTGTTCTAAATTTTGTACTAAACCCTTCACTTTTAAGGAATTTGTCCAATGGTCCACTTAGTGTTGTGTGTGCTGAAAAAGGGTTAGGATAAAGTGCACTGGAGATCACTTAATTATGGTCGAATGATCATTTTAGTCATTAAGCTTTTAAAAGTTATAATCTAATCATTAAATTTATAGAATTACACACAAGACCCACTACTTATCTTATATTTCCAAATTGCACACAAAAGTTTGGAAAAGCTTTTGCTTTTCCATTAGCCTCTTAGCTACCATTAAATATATACAACTTCAACAAACTTCTCATCTACCATGAAACTTTTTTAATAAGATACAAATTGATTATCCGACTTTATACTCTGAATTATGTATTTTGAAAAGATGAAGACGATTGTCTCCGAGTCTTAGAGAATATAAAGCATTTTTAAATTCACCCCAAGTGAAAGGTCTATAAAGCAAAGGCTTTTGTGGTGTGACCAACTCTGCGGAGGTGAGCCATGCATGGAGGGGTGGTGCCCCAAAATAGGCCATGGACATTCTAGGCTTGTAGGAGTTTCTCAATGCTCGGTGCCTCACGCTCTTGAACCTCCCATTAGTCATTGCCTTCAAAATATACATGTAGCATTATTAGTCTATAATTTGATAAAAGTACTACATAAGTCCTTATACTATAAAGCGAGATACATGTTGGTCCCTGATTTTAAAATGAGCATAAAGGTTAATGTATGTGAGAAAAATACATAAAATAGTCATTTTGTAACGGTATGTGAGATAAAATGTAGAAAAAAAATTAGGGTGGCCAATTTGAACTATATTTTCTTTGGTCAAAATATAATTTCATTATTGTATTAATTTTTGAAGGGAGTATAAAGTAATTTCCCCACTTAACGAGTTTAAACCCGATTTATTTTGACATGATTTAAATCATCATTTTTTTTAAATTGTCAATATATTCGACCGTTGGATGAGGGAAAATAGATGACTGAGGTTGACATATTATTTTTTTCAGTGAATCTTTATTTGTTTCCTACTGTTAATCTCAATCATTTATTTTACTCATTCAACAGTCTTAAATATGTGTAAAACTAAAAGAGTTTACATTGTATTACATGATCCTATCTCTTATTGAGCGATAATCAAATTTTTCTCTCTATATATATTTTAATTATCTTTTCATAGGATCGGATTGAAAAAAGTTTTATCTCAAAATTCAAAATGAATTTAAGATGGATAGAAGATCACCAAATATTGAAGCAGATCAAGATCGAATGAAAGTCTTCAATTTTTAAATTGGGATTAAGACTACTCAAAACCGACCCGCCCCGTATCACTCTACATAAACCATGTTGGGCAACCGTTTCGGAACTTTGTGGACATTTTTTGAGTTTGCTAGGCAAAAACTATAAATGGGGGAAAATGCAATCTAATCATTAGCTACTCAAACTCCATGAAGATAGAAGGAAGAAGATGGTGAAAAGCACCAACCTGTAAAACATCACCAACATTAACACAAAAGGCATTAGGGTTGGGGGGAGCAGGGACCCATACACCATCAGCCAGTGCAATCTGCAGGCCACCCACGCCGTTGGATCTCAAGATGGTCAAGATCTGAGGGTCAGTATGCTCCCCAAACCCAACCTTGGTGTTGTTGTCTTTGCAGAGAATGGGTGGATAGTGATTGAGCCTGAAGATGGAATCACTTTCGACGGCTCTGATCATCCTACTAAACGCTGATGCATCATGGACCCTCAACCCTTCTGCCATCAGATCCAATATCTTACATGCTAACCCCGTCACTGCTTCTATGTAACTACTCACGCCAGAGCTGTCACAGTATGGAAAAACAGTCACTTTCAAGCTGAAATTGAAAATAAAGGTCCAATTTTGCATCTAGTCCCTACACTTTTAGAACCACATGTGGAATCATGGTTCAATCATTAGACAATTCCTATGCATTGTGAATGGACTTTCGTTGAGTTGAAATACGTTGTTGTTGATGGTAACATTTGGATTGTTAAAATTGTAAATATTTTATTTTTTAAAATTTAAATAAAGAGTTATAATTAATGATTTTATAGTGGGAGGTAGAATAAGTGGAATCCCTTTCTAAGAATCTCTTTCTCAGTTTTGTATGAGAGATTTTAAATTGATTTTTAGTACTAGTATCATACCTAAAGTCATGATGACTAGTCATAGACTGACAAGATGAAGGAATTAACTCTCTGACAGTATATTTGATTATGACATATCATATGATCTATTAAAAATCATATCAAAAGTTATTATTGATCAAAAGATATGGGCCTATAGAGGATTCAATTAGAGAAATTCATCTAGAAGCTTCGATTAACAGAGAAGATAGAAACTAAAATATTACTCACATAAGAGATCTGGACGAGATATAACAATTGTCAACTTAAATTATTAAATTGCAATCCCTTTATTTTTCTAGAAGGATCAAATTTCAAACATATACAAAGTATAGGGTTTGGATACAAAATTAAAACCCTAAAATCATCCTTTTAAGTTTCAATCCCTTTGATTTGACTAGACCTCTCTGATGTACAGACTTATTTTCTGACATACAATTATTTTGCAATCTTCTAAAAGTACATGTTTTTTACAAACACTCGCCTTCTCAGGCGCGTGAGTCTAAGACCTGACAGCAAACACAATGAGTGAAGTGTCAGACATTATATCCTGTTGTAGGAGAAAACTATATCCCACATACCACAGTCCCCATGTGACTTGAGAATAGATAAAAAAGAGTCGAATTCTTCTTCTACCCCTACATTATTTGAAAAATATATATTTAATCCCTATATTCTAATTATATTTTTAAAATTTTAATCTTGATTTAAATATCAACCGTGAAATATATTAAGTTAAATTTTATTATTAATAGTTGTATCATGTATAAATCATTTAATTATTGTTTCTAAATTCGATCATTTTAAGTTTATATAATTTAATCTTATCGTACTAATGTTCAAAATTTGACATAGAGGGATGGTAATTCTAAAATTCACGTGTGTTCGTCATTTTCAAACTTAAATGACCTTTAATTGACTTCTCTCATCATGTTCATTATTTTACCTCTATTATATATATAGCCCCTAAACTTATTAATTTGATTAAATTAGACCTTGAACTCGACAAGTTTAATTAAATTACCCTTAAACGGGTCAAACTAGCCCTAACATAATTACTTGTTATAAAAAGTTTAGGGTCAGATTCAAAAGTCAATTGTACTTAAAATAAGTTTGGAGATCAATTCGATCAAGAACTAATATGTATTTTAAGCCTAAACTTTAATTCTTCTTGATGTACTAATGAGCATTTAAACAATTGAACCACGAGAATTCATAAAGTGACATCAATGATAAAAGAGAAAATATTATTCTTTCAAGAGATATTGAATTTAAACAGTTGCATGAGCGTATGTACGTTATCAATAGGAACCATGATACCGTGCTAAAAGATAAATGATAGAGATGATCGAGCAACAGATGGATTATTTCTGGAAATCAGGCCCAGCTGATAGAAATAGAACCCTACACCAGACCACAATATCAGCAAATACAGTAATCCTTTTGCCATTTAAAACGATGATAGTTGGAGTTGAATGCAATGGGAGTGGGGGTGCAAAAAAAGTAACATACAACTCATCCCTCAACCCCACGTTCATGGATTCATCAAACGTGAACAATGCACTAATAAACCATGCTGGCAAAGACCTCCAACTTGTACACGTGCCGACATGAGACAAGTATTAGAGTTTGAGTTTCTTCAGTGGCGAAATTTGGTGATAAAGTTTGGGGGTCAATTTATTTTTTTAAATTGAGTTTTAAATTAAAATTTTTAAAATTGTGAAGGTCCAGTTTACAGTTTTTCAAAAAAAATGGGGTATAACTAAAATTTTTGAAATTTTGAGAGGCTTAATTAGAATTTTTAAAAATTATCATAGGGACTTAATTAAGAATAATCAAAAAATTAATATGAATTTCTAAAAGTTTTGTAAGGACCAAATTAAATATTTTGAAAATTTTAGAGATCCGAATTATAATTTTTCAAATTTTTGGAGGGGTCGTGGCCTTCACTAGTCTTCACTGTCTTCCGCCATTGAGTTTCCTAAACCTTAAACCTTTTTTCCTCGAATAATCTATTGATAACTCGTACACACCTTGCAGACGCAGCTACTCATACTTGAATCTTCTAGGGAGAACAACAATTTCTTTTATCACTAGACCACTCATTGAGCTTAACATACCTTATCTTAGACTATAGGGTATCGATGACGACCGCATCCTATGAAAATATTAAATTCTCATATATTATAAGTATTTTTTTGTATATTATATTGATAATCTAATTCTGTAACCTGAAATTTTATAAAATTGCCTTATAAATTTCTTATATAAATTTCTAATAATTCACATTCTTGACATAAAATCTTGTATCTATTCATATTAGACTATAAATTATAATGAATTGATTATGTTGATTAGTTAAGTGTCGATCGTTTTATTCGACTTATTGGCTCTCTTTGAGGCCAATAGCATGCGATCGTATTAAAATATTATTCAATATACGGAACAAATGTTAGATGTAATGGTAAGTCATATTATACTCTTAAAAATAAAATTGAAGTATGAAAAATTTGAATCTTGAAACACATTATTAATTTTTTTTAAAATATACAACTCGTCCAACATAGCTTACAAAACCTCACGTTCATGGATGCATCAAAGTGGAACAATACACTAAGAAACCATGCTGGCAAAGAGGTGGAGTTTATATTCGAGTCGACATGAGAGAAGTATTAGAGTTAGAGTTCGAATTTTACTTACAGACGATGAACGATAAACACTATTATTAGTCTTTTCTAAACCCTGTGAAACACTATTATTCAATGCGTTAATATTTGTTAATATATACAACAAAGTGAAACACTATTATTCAGTGCGTTAATATTTGTTAATATATACTGGGTGTAGTGGTAAGTCATATTGAATTCTTAAGAAGAAAACTCGAATTCGAAATGTTTGAATCTTAGAGACGATATAATCGAAAAAGATAAATACGAATCCTAAATATGAATAGTAAAACAGATAACAGAAAATAGTAATAATATAATAATAATAATAATAATAATAATACAAGTGGGAAAAGAAAATGTACCTGAACATTTTGGGGTCATTGGAGATGGAATTTGATATCTGAGAAATGGATAAAGAGCTGGTATCAAGCAAAAGATATTCAACTTCTCCGACATCACCGTTGACCCCAATGTTCTTCCGACCATAACCGAAAGGAGTGGCCGGTCCGGCTCTTTGTTTCTCGCAAACTGGCTTTGCAAAGAAATCGAGACCTTGTTGTTCCATTTGGGCAACGGTGTCCTCCGAGACTCCATGGTTGATGACTTGAAAGAAACCGAACTGTTCACATGCTTTTATAATGAGGCTCGACACATTCAGTCTCTCTGCCAATAGGTCGATGACCGGTAGCTCGATGAACTGAATCGATTCGGACTTGATCGGATTCGGCAATCCCACCACCATTTTTAGACCGGTTTTCAACACAATATTGATTGAGAAAATGTCAAAAAGAATGCTAATGGATGGAAAGTAAGGAGAAGACGAAGGGAAAGATGTGTGCTTTTGAACAAGTGAATACCATATTTATATTCGAGTCACCACTGTAGAATCAATAGGACAAGTCTAAACTAAAATGAATTAGGCAATACCAAAATATATTTTTAAATATAATAACTTAACTCTTTTTAGGGATCTATAAAAATGAATTGGACTTGAACGAACAAAATTTATTTTTAAACTTATTCGAGACATATTCATTTAACGTTTGTTTAGTGTTCGACAACCAACACTCTCCTCTTACAGTTTTACTTGCAAACAAAAAATAGTAAAAAATAAAAAAAAAATGATAATAGGATGAATGAGTTGATAAATGAGTTTGTTCGTAAATATAAACGAACCGAACACACATCTTTTCGTGTTCGTTCATTTATTAAATGAACATAATTTTTTTGTTCATACTCATTTATTTAATTTAATAAACAAATTATTTACGAATATATCGTCAAATTGCTTTGCTTGTTCGTAACCCTAACTCTTTTTTAATATTTGATTTTAAATCAGTTACTAATTTTACATGAACTGACTTTGCACCATGCATATCTCAATGTCACCTATCAATTAATAATTAAAATATAAGATGATGCATAAATCTTGATTTACCAAACCATTTTTAGTATTATTTTATACTCTCATTGACTAGTGTGTGTCCATGGCATTATCACACAACTTTTTATGGGGTTTTGAGTGTCCAATTAGGTTAACCAAATGAAACAATAATTGGCCAAATTTGGGGTCCAATGAATGACAGGTTGATGGATTAATAAGATAAGGTTAATATATTTCACCCAATCAACTTTCTACTAATAGTAAAGTTGTGAAATTAAAAATATTTGTTGACTCGTATGTCGAGGTACGACAGCCTTAATATACGACTAAAAAAAGACGTTATCGGAAATGTTAATATTTTTTTAACATTTCTGGTAAAACACTATCAAAAATATTATTTTTTTTCTATCAAAAATGTTAATATTGAGCTCTAGCTAAAATGTTTAACATTTCCGATAAAACGCTACTTAAAGAATTATTTTTCTATCAGAAATATTAATATTGGGCACTACCTAAAATGTTATTTTTTCTACAGGAAATTAGGTAGCGAAATTAATATTTCCGATAAAAAAAATGATATTTTAGGTAGCGTTTTACCGGAAATGTTAAAAAAATATTAACATTTCCGGTAAGGTATTTCCTTAGCCGTATATTAAATCTATCGTACAACAGAACGACCCCTATGTGTATCCACTTTCTCACCTAAATCAAAACCAATAAAAGACCTACTTATTTGATAAAGGAAAAAATCTTCTATTAGTTATCTATTAGTTTATCGAGATAAAATATTAATTTTTTAATAAAATTCAAATTTAAATTCTATAATATGAATGAAATAAATTGAATTAAAATGATATTTTCATAATAAATTTTTATATTATTTAATTTAAATTAATCGATTAATGAATTAAATATATATTTCATACACCGTAACTTATAATTTTATTATTATTAACGAATTAAATACATTTATGAGAGAAGGTAGGGTGAAAGGTTGGCGAATTATATTCATGACTTGATATTTCACTTTATCGTTGCACTTCATCATTATTGTTGGAACGTTTTCTAAGCTCGAATTTATTTTTCAATTTTAAATTTCGATTTTAATATATTAATTTAAAGTTGGTATCGATTTTCCGACTAATGTAAGATTGAATACTTAAAATTATTTTTTTCTAAAGAAATTTTATAAACTTTTTTGTAAAAGACAAATTAAAACCTACATTTTATCAGAGATTCATTTTAAAAGGATTCAGAAATTGGTTACGTGTGGGGAATGATAAGTACCCTACAATATTTGAAATTGATACCTAATTGATTATACGTTGTTTAAATATTAGGACTTGTAAATTTGAATATATATTTAAGATATGATTCTTTCGTTTGCTCGAATTTATTTTAATTGAGTGATATGAAAAAGATCTTACTATGAAAATGATCTATTCCCTTCAATTTTATTTTAAAATGACTTAATTACAATGAAGGTTTGTATAAAATAAATTTACTCAAATCAAATTTTCTACTTTAATTATCTATTAGTATAAGTATAATCATATATAGATTATCTATTAGTATAAGTGTAGTCTTTATCCACTCGCAACTTGATGAAGGCGACTAAATGAGAACCGCTCTAAGGATGTTATATAACGTAGAACGACCTTCCAAAACCACTAGTTATCTGTTAGTAAACGTCTTAAATCGATCATTTTGTTTATCAGAACTTTCAAAGAATCCTACTCTTTCGAGCAAAGGTTCTCAAAGCAACTATTGTTTGTAGACGAGATCTCTGACATGATCTTTGTTAGACCCATTTGATATGCCATAATGAAATTTAAGGTCTAATTACAAAATCTACCTAACATGCCGACCTACAAATAACTATCATGATCCTACAGCTGACATACGCACTAATGATTATTAAAATACACCTCACACAACAGAAACAAGAGCTGAAACCATTGTAATACTCAAATATCGGCCAACGACATTCCCTCATCTGCCTTAGCTCTTCATTTAAATCATAAGGGGTGAATCGTTTATTGTCGACGAAACTCTTTTAATTCATTAACAATGTGATTATAAGGTAATGTATGTCCATAATTTTCTTAATCTATTAATAAAGTGCATTTACCCAGCAAACGTAGTTGTTCGATCACGAGTTCTCTAAAAAAACAATATCTTCAATTACCATCGAAACCATTCAATAAATTCTAATCTAATTGAATATTGATTCAACAATGGTTAAATAAAAAGTAAAAATATTTATAATTTTTAACTAAAAATCATAAACAAAAAATTTTAATTAATTGAATCGATTGAACCATCATATTTTTTATTTAAATAATTTATGATAGAGAAAAAAAGATACATTGTATAAAGTATTTGCAGCATTAACTAAAGGGAAACATGGTGGACTAAGATGTAAGCTAGTGATAACCAATGGCACTATGCAGATGAGACTTGGAACTAAGATATAATCTCTTCCAGGTGTTCGATCAAATGCCACTGAGAATTGGTCACCAGCGAGCACATTGCCTACAACTTTACCATCGGCACCAAAATCTACAGGCACTATGAGGCCTTCAAATTTGTTCTTGGTATGTCCCAGTGTGTCCCTGAGGTTCAAAATTCAGGTCGCGAATTCCACTACGACGAACTGGTATGGACTGACGTTCTCGGTTGCAGGCTCATAGAGTAATCCTCTGATAACAGCAACTTGGCCTGATTCTACTCCTAGTAGACCTACAACCAGCTACAAAAATAGGAATGATCTAAGATGATTACAATATAGTATCTATCCAGAATTTTCTTAGACTATAGACAACACACACAAACCATATAGATACAGAAGCAATTGCTCGAACCCGTTATCTATAACTTTTGCAAATAATGATGCACAACACTCGAATCAAGTTGTGGCCTTGGAAACCCTTCACTATCTTCTTAATTTCCAACATTCAAAGAATACACATAGTTCCATCAAATATACATACACCAAACACACCTAGGGTCAAGTAGTAAGAAGTTTGATATATAGAGAAAATAACATTTAGGGTCAACTCGACTCGATATGACTATCATAAAGAGAAATGAAAATACGGTTTTGAGAGAAATGCACTAACTTCAAGTGACCAACTTCTTGGTAAGCAAATTGTAGGATAATATCATCGGTGAGAGTGTCAAGATTGGCCTTTTGGGCACCAATGGGAGATGGACCACCCTCAGCTAAATGTAGACCAACTTTATCCAAGCCATGACCCAAACCACCATACAAGAAGAACTCAGCTTCTAAATACTCCAGATTCAAAGGAAACTCCAACAAATCCAGATCAGTTTTGGGGACTGATGAGTTTTTGTAATCATCAGAAAAGTCTGCAGAATGTGAAATGAAAACAATGGCTGTGGAGGACATAAAGCAAGTTGTTGCCATTGCCCTGGTCTTGATTTACTTTTAGAGATTGATTCTGATGCAATGTCTTGGCATTGCCATTACACAAACATATACATATATATTTATTTTGAATAATATATATATATATATATATATACACACACAACTCTATCTGATGCAATGCCTTGGTTTATATATAGATGCAATGCCTTGGTTTATATATAGATGCAATGTCTTGGTTTATTGGCGTTATTATTGGGCCGTTGTCTTTGCATGAAGATACGCAGAGGAGATTGAAAATTAATTTCTTTCCCATAATTCTAAGGATTTTATCCCAAAAAATCCAATATTTCCTTTTTTTCGTTAGATTATAATTTATGATCCATATGTGAATTTATGATTTTATCAGAAAGATTTATGATCCACGTAATATGTCTGGATCAAACAGAATCAATTATTTGAAATAATTACATTTTTTTATAGATTTCAATCATATGATAATTCACTTTGATTTAAGAGTACGGTATAAATTTCATCATTCATTTTTTTCACTCCTATTTTTATTATTAAAGTTTAATTTTTTTAATTTATTAAATAAACTTTCAATTTGCTCAAATTTTGATCATTGTGTTGTTAAACACTTGACATTATGATTAGATTGTTTTTAAAAAATCATGAAATAATCTCAAGTTTTCTTCATTTGTTTGATGAAAAATCATAGTTTTGAATTTTCTTTGATTTATTGATAATGAAGTACTTTCTTTCAAATTACAACAGTGGAGAAATGAATAAGGAGGAAACGAAGTTGTATATCTCGATTCCACGCCAATCGGATTATGGATATTATAGATCAACGTGATTTAGGATTTAATCATTTTTAAATTTGAGGTTGAATATTATGAGTTTTAAAGTGATTTAGGTAAATTCTAAATTGATAGAATAATAGGAGACAATGAGACGAGTTTATTAATATCTAAAATGGTCGGAAAAGATGCTAAAGAATAGTAATTGCAGCATTAGCGTGACATAGAAATGAAATTATAAAACTTTTATTAAGAAGAAAATTTTCTTTTTTAAAAAATAGAGAAAATGTTGTGGTTTTCATGTTAATAAAAAGCAATCTATTTATGGTTGTCAGCCTTCTATTTAAGATACGAGTGATTAAAATATAAACAAATCAAAATTTTAATGAGTAAATAAAAAATACAGATAATCGTGAATTTTAAATTTATAAATCATAAATCGTTCAAACACTACGTACCGAATCGATTTTCGATTTCTCAAAATTTATTGGTAAGCCCTATAACATGGATATGAAAACATAACTAATTAAGCTTACAAAGATTAAAACAAAACAAGCACACGTGAATCCACATGACCTGACCCTGAAGGATCATCAATTCCTTGTCATGCGGATTCAATACTCGTTTAAGTCTCCCTAATGTCTTGTAAAGTCAACCTCTTAACATCTCAGGTGATACCTCAACTCAGATTTTTATATTACCAAGCTCTTACTTCACTTGCAAGATACCGATCCCACAACGAATGGTACCAACACCATGAGACGGAAAAACAAAGAACACCGTAAACTCCTTGCTCCGACAACCATGATGCATATATCTAGACAAGGAAACCTTCGAAACACGAAGAAAATTTGTACCAATATTGAAAATATCCGGGCTTGTAGAACCCGAGCCCGGATAAAGTAGATTAATGCAGAGTAAGGCTCAAGGAACAGATAAAACATATAATATTCAGATTTGTTAGTCAACTTGAGTGTTGATCTCAAAAAAATTCAAATCAGATTCTCCAGCAAGAAACATATTATTATTTAAAATCAGAGTTTTAATGAACATGGTGTATCAGGGGGGGAAACCAGTACACATGATCCCACAACATAACCTGACCAGGTAAGTTGCTGTGCAGGCTGTAGGCTAATTATTTGAGAATCACGGCAAAAAATTTACACAATAATTTTAACTCGACCCCACCGACCTCAACTAGCATACAAGGGTCCAGGGATAAATTACCGGGAAAGCTAAAACTCCGGAGATTCGACGGCTGTGAATACAAAACATTGTTTGGTAAAATGGCTTTGATGGAAGGCAGCACCAAGTACTTGTCCCTATAGGCACTAGTAGAGTGTTTGAAATCAAATTTTTATCCAGATCTTTTGAGCTTTTCCTGAGCGTCTAAACCTACAACCTGCTCCACTAAACTACACAAGGGAAAAACAGATTCGGACTCAGTTTCACGGCACTAAGATGCTTCTATTAATCGTTATTCAATTTATGAATCAAGAACATATTGAAATGTGCCAATAAATAGAGTTGTTTTGCCACTGGAATTAGTGTTACGTACTTTGGAGATCCTGAATCTGGTTGATTTGGAATGCTGGCAGATGGTTTCTCCGAGAATTGGACTGAAATTAGACCTCTGTTCACTGCTCCGGCTCCGACTGGCACGGGAGATTCTTGGGAACCTGTCGGTCTACCTCCGGGTGACATTCCTGCATAAAAACAACAAACAAATTTTATGCTATATTCATCCGGCTTTTGCAAGATGGTCGATGATACTGAAAGCATTCCATTCTATATCCGAGCATCTTTACTGGCAATCACAAAGAAATATTACCTTGAAAGATCATGACAATACAAAAAATGATGGTAAACACGGTGGCAAGAACATTGTTTCTGTGTGAAGTTGTTTCCTCAGCAGCCTTCATCTTCTTCAAGACTTTGATCCGCTCGATCCTTGCACGCTTCAATCTCGCAAGTTCCGCTATCTCCTTGATTAACTTCTGGTCGGCCGCATCCAATGACGGAGCTCTCGGAGGTCTAGGAGGTTTCTTATGGCTCAAGCTCTTACGTTTCTCCTTCAACACTAATCTATTCTCCTTACCATCCTTATCACAATTCGTAATCGGCATTGCCTGCAAATTCTCCACACACACACTACCACAACTCGAGATATCGCCGGACAACAACGGCACTGCGAAATCGCCTCTACCATTAACAGCTACTCCATTTTCAAGGTCAAATTCTAAATCTTTGTCTCTAAAAGCCATCTAATCTATCACTACAAACTCTCACAGTCTTAATCATAAACACATTACAAACATCAACTTGAAGAAGCAAAAAAGTTGATTTTCTTCGGATTTAAACTCACAAATTTAACTTAGTAAACACGCCAATGAGCAGACCCTGCATCCATCAACAGAATATAAAAAAGTTTTTCAATCACAAAATACTAAAATTCCCAGAAACATTAAAAAAATAAATATTTCTTGGGAACAGAGCCAAAGGATGAGTATGCATAAAAAGAAGGGATTGAAACCCATAAAATGTACCAATGGAAACCCCACATTCATCAATCCCCAATAAAGAAAAAAACAAACTTTATCAGATAAAAATAATAATTAGTAAGAATATGTATAAAAAGAATATACCTTTCAGAGAAAGCAAGGAAACCCCAGATCCAATGCCAAGGGAAAATGCTCCATAAACCAAGTTTGAAAGAAGAGAGAAACTTTACTTAGTTCAATCTACAAATACTTGATCTATACATATATATAATTTATAGATGTCAAGTGAGTAATTAATGCAGTTTAGCAATTTTACAGTTCGGATTAAATAAATTTAGTTTGAAAAAAAGGAAGATAGGGAAGTTAAGGAGGGAACTTGGAAGGTACTCACTCGATAAGTGGGAAATTGACAGACGAGACAGGGTTACTGGTTTGATATAAAATACAAGAATAAAATAATATAATCTCGTCGGTAAAAGAAAATTTTAAATTTTTTAAAAGATGCAAGTTTAAATAATTATGGGAAACATTCACGTGCGGCGTATTAGTATATGGCTAAAATATGACGGTAGCGATTTTATTATTATTTTAAATAATAAAATTGGTAAAAAATAACTGAAAATATTTTTTTTATCTGTTCTAATTACCTATATAGGTAAACAAGGTAAAAAAATTCAGTCAAAAATAATGTTTTAGGTAGCGCTTTAACGAAACATCATTTTTTGACGGGAATTTTTACTGCGTTTACCTATATAGGTAGTTAAAACCGATAAAAAAATATTTTCAGTCATTTTTTTTACCAGTTTTATTAGTTAAAATAACAACAAAACCGATACTTCCTTATTTTAACCGTATACTAAGGTCGCACGTATTATGAGTAAGAATTGATTGTGTCGTTGAAAATTTAAAATTACTAGAAAAATTATTTTTATTAAAAGTTTAAAATTATCATTTTTTAATTTAAAATTATCATCATTCGTATATTTAATTTTAGATTTTCTTTAAAAATTAAAATTATTGTATATTTTATATATTTTTATATATTTTAGAGTTAACGGCTTGATATAAATATATCAATTATTTAATTTATCATATTGATTTTTTTGAATAATCTAGTGTGATCACAATGTAATATTTGTTTAAAATTTTAATCTATTGACAATGAATATACACCGTACAGAAGTTGTTGATTGAATAGAGAATCTTTAAAAAAAATAACATTCCTTTTACCGCTAAGTCCACCTAAAAGATTCTTAATACTAAATTGATATAAAGAAGTCGATCAAAGACTAATAAAAATCTATTAATCGACTAAATTCAAAAGATTGATTCATTAAATCATTTATTCAATCAATATTGAAAAACTTAGAACTGATAAATACACCGTACAGACGTTGTTGCTTAAATAAAGTTAGTGACAACAAATTAAAAAACAGTAAATTAGATAATCTTTTGTATATCTAACATCTATGTTAAAATTCAGAAAATTGGATATAGAAACTATATTAAACTCGATATTTATTATTAATAAAATAATTTCTAAAATAATTTTTCATAAAAAATTACTTTTACCTTTAATTATATGTATTTGAGGTAGAGTTTATAATTCGAATTTTTATATGATTCAACTTGAAAAGTTAATGTGCAATCTACCTAGTGAAATAAATTAGAATAAAGATGTGAATCAACGACGGATTAGTGGTTTGGTAAATTTAACTTGATTTTTTTTAAATTTGAGTTATAAAATAAATTTTGAATAATTCAATATTTTTAGTAATCGGTGGATTGATTTTTAAGTTTAGTCGAGTATTTCGACTTTGTATATATATATGGATAAGATCCTGTTACACAATGTAAAACTCTTTGTCTTACATAGATTTAAGACAGTTGGATGAGTGAAAATAGATGACTGAGATTAACATAGAAAATGAGAAGATATTCACTGGAAAAAAAATCAATCTCAACCATATTTTCACTCATCCAATAATCCTAAATATGTGTAAAACTAAAAGAGTTTTATATGGTGTGATATGATCGTATCTCATATATATATATATATATATATATATATATATTATATGAAAAAATAAAAAAATATATAAGTATTGTATATGGTTATAGAAAATCATTTAAATTAGAATCAAATAGTATCATCATATTATATTTACAATTAAATTTAAATAGAAACTCGATTCAACTCAATTCGACTTGAAAAATATTCAAAAAAAATTAAATTATAAATATGATTTACTAATTGAGATAACTCAAAATAATTTTACTCGATTTGATGAAACATTCACAGCTAATTCAGAGTATGTCACTGTGATAGAGGTAAAGGAAAACAATAATGTGTTGGGGACTTGCCTTTATTGCAGCTTTGGTCATTGCTGTATTGTTGGGAAGCTTTTTGGACCCATTTGCCTAAACATTATCAGATACGATGTTTGCTGCAATAATTCATCAAAGAAGATCCATTTCCATGCCCTACCATGTGATATATTCTTTAATTTTATGTCTGAGTGAACTTATAATTTTATTGGAACGAAAAACAGATAAAAATCAAAAGAGAAATCAAATATTAGTCGGTCTAACATAATTAACATCTCTTAAATAATATATAAAATTTAAATCTTGATTTTATGAATAAAACAAATTGAATTGAAAATATTATTTCATAATAAATCCTTATGATAGTTAATTAAAATTAATTAAATAATTTTCAATAACTAAATCGAAAAATATTATAAAAGAAAATTAGATGGGTTGTCCATTTAAAAGTTCACATCACATGAGAGATCGAGGGCCACAGGCCAGTTGTTGGGATAATATTCAACTTTATTTAATGGTGCAAAGGCACGTGGGGTGGATATTTTCAATCAGAAACGAAATGAAAAGATGAGTGAGTCGTTTATTTGAAAATTTTAGATTTTTTTAATTTTTAATTGATAATATGTTATTATCGTTTTAGACATTTGAAAATTTTAAATATATTTTATATTTTCAATTGATATTTATTATTGTCGTCTTAGAATTTTATAAATTCGTTTTTCTTCTAAAATTTTTAAAATTTACTATTTAAATAAAATTTGCATCCGTCCCTATTTTCAATCTACTATGGTTCATTGTAGACAACAGCAACTAATTTTGAGTAGTTTCTTTCATGCAATGCAATGAACCAAACCTTTGGGACTGATCAGCAATGCATGCCGGCCCCATATAATGTTGGGTGAACATCTACGTGCAAGACTTCTGTTTCAAAGAACTTTATAGAAATTCAAAAAGATTCTTGTGTTTGGAAGACCATCACTCAAGTAGAACATGGTTAGGTAATTGCTGAATTGGACAAATTGGTCCTCCAAGGTTCTCCACTTCACCGATAAGTTTCTCCAAGTCTTCAAACTCGTTAATTAGATTCCTCTAACTCTCCGTTTAAATTAGAAAGGGCGAGCTACACGTAATATCTCGACACTCAAGATAAATCACGGTAAGCACTGCATGATCTGTGAACTTTTCCCTCCCTAATCGAGGTGTTCTCGAAACCCTTTGTAGGATTAGGAGATCAAATCACAAGGCTAAACGGTACATGAAACGGATATTTCCAGGACCCTCCTTAATCGAGATGCTCTCAGGACCCTCCTTAATTGAAGCTCGAGCTAGTTGTAGTAGTAGTACCATTTAATGGAGTCAAGGAGGTAGTACGCTATAGATAGGGTTCTTGTTGGTAGGAGTGAACAAAATTCGACTCGACTCGAAAAAAATTAAATTTATGTTTAATTTCGAGTTATTCGAGTCAACTCAAATTATCAATTCAGTTTTTTAGTTTGAGTCGAGTTAAAAATTCAAAAATTCAAGTAACTCGAAAAACCAAAAATTTGGATGAATATTTTTGATAGATTTACGATTTGGTTTCTGGTTTCCTATTCCTTCAATTCATCCTTCATTTTAAGTCAAATTTTCACCAAATTTAAACCACATGCTCCTAAACCATCATAGAATACATATGTACTTTCAATTCCAGTTTTGATGATAAATTTTCTTTTTTCTAAATTTAGTCCCTCAATTTTTCATGATTTTCGTATTTCTTCAATTCATCATTCATTTTAAGTACGTTTTTGACCAAGTTTAAACCACATGCTCCCCAACCGCTATAGAATACCTATGTAACTTCAATTTTTTTACTAAAAATATACTCTCTTTTTAATTTAGTCCTTAAACTTTACCGTTTATTCAATTTAGTCTTTTGACTACAATTGTTTACAAATTCTTTTTTCACATCAATTCTTTAACTTCTTTATACTCTCATTAATCTTTTATCCTCAAAATACCTTCTTTGAAATACACTATTGTAAATATATTTTATAATTTTAGATTGTATATGATATATTAAATAACATTGTAATGTGAAAAGAATATGAAGAAATATATGTATCTTATATGATTAGAGAAGTCAAAAAATTAGAATAAATATGTAATATAATACTATAAATAATTAAAATTAAATTTGTATAGAAACTCGAACAACTCAACTCGACTCGAAAAAATTTCAAGTCAACTTTGAGTTATAAAATATGATTCGTCAACTCGAATAACTCGAAATTTTTACTCGACACGACTCAATCAAATACTCACCCCTACTTGTTGAATGTTTCCTCGATACGTTACCAAACATGGATGTATGTATTGGCATTCGTAAGTGATGGGGACAATCTTCGTATCATCGGACGATAACTCGACTCTCTTCTTCACCCTATATCCAACACTTGTGCAACAATAATAGCTCTTGCTTTTACTCTTTGTCACGAAGGCAAATCTTGGCTTATTTTTTTTAGAACAATTCCAACTTAAGAGGAGGAGAGAGGAATTTTATTTATAATATGTGTAGACACCTATTTTTGTTCGGGTTTTAATCGTCTAGTATAAATTACTTATTATTATTATTTTATTAATAATATTCTAATTACATTTTTGTAAGCCCAACCGGTTTAAGCCCACAAAGAAACTAGCCCAGCAACCCAAAGCATAACCCATCAACCCAGACCCTGTTACAGTCAACCCAACCCATTTACGGTTTCATCTCAGCAGCCAACTGACTCCAATCTCCAGTCATTGGATCTGGACCCATCCAACGGTAATAAGAGTGTTCCTTGGGATTATACATGCCAAATCAATACTCCTGATAACCAGGAAGAGTAAATCGATGAATTTGGATTTTTCACCAGGAGTGGGAGGTGCTAAAAGCCGAAATAACAAGAGCTGTGATAATTGATG